TGTGAGATATTTAAGTGACAAGACTTCTGATACTTAGTGACCAATTAGATATGGAATGTCTAGATAGAGAAAAATTAGAGGTAACTCAGAAATAACCGGTTCTTATACGAACTAAGTGTTACTGCCTTAATTGCTTTCTCATTGCTCTGAATCCCACAAGTTAAAGGGGTAAAGGTGTATGTTAGCTCAGTTTGTAGAGGTTTCAATCCACAGTCAGCTAGCTCCAAGGTAAGGGAGCACGGCAGAGGAACGTGACAGAGAAGAAACAGTGCATGGCAGGGCAGGCAGGAAGCAGCAAGCCTTTTTTTCCCTTCAAGGCTATTGGTTGCTGCCACACGCACACCAAGGATGTACCGTCCATCTTCAGTAAATCCATAAGCCATACCAATAATTGTACTAAACTAATCAGAAGATTAACCCAGTATTAACCCACACACTCATGATCCAGTATCACGTAACTATTTACTCCATTAAGGCTACAAGCCTATTGGTTGGTGTCACTCACACCCAGGGTGGGCCTTCCATTTTCAGTAAATCCATTCAGCCATACCCCAACCACGCTAAACCAATTAGTAGGCTAGTATAACACACCCACGATCCAGTCACTCCCCAAAGCCCTACCTATGAATGCATGAGGCTTTGCAGGAACATCTAGATATAAACTATAACACTGCTTAAGAGACTCTGCGGTAAAGCTGTCCAGTAGGTAGTAAGAAACAATAATCTAGAGCTGTGAAGAGATCTGCACTGGAACTATAGATTCCTATACATGTGGTCATTGAAGCCACAGGAGTGGCTAAGAGGGTATCGGAGAAGAGTAGAGGAAGTGCAGAAGTCTGTGGTACTCAAGTGCATAAAGATCAGCCAGAATGGAAGGGGTAAGAAAGCAAGTAAGTGGACCAGGAGGTATTGCACTGTCCTCTGCCTCTCCGCACTGGCACAGTGCACCCCAAAAGAGAACAGGAGAACTGCTCCATTTGCAATACACACAGAGAGACAGAGAGAGAGAGACAGAACAAGAGAGACAGAGAGAGAGAGAGAGAGAGATGAAAGACTACCTTTGCTCCTTCTTCTTGAAATTTAGTATTTCTAGGTATCTGCTTCTTTAAAGAAAAAAAATTAAATACAGAAAAGAAATAATGAAGGGAATTATGTAAATATTTTCTAGAATCTAGTAAAATATCTCATGTAATATATTAAGGCAAAATGAAGAAAGCTGTAAAACAAGAGTCAAAGGACCACTCTGAGAGCCAGGCATGGTAGTATATGACTGTGGTCCCAACTATTCAGGAGGCTGAGGTAGGAAAAGCAGTTGAGCCCAGGAGTTTGCCACCAGCCCGGGCAACATAGTAAGAACCTGTTTCAGCCCCCTACTGGCTTCTTACCAACCAAGAGTAAAAGCCAAGTACTACCACAGCCTACAGTGCCCTAAGAGATCTTTCTTCTGCCTCCCCCTACAACCACACATACCTCTTTTCTCTCACGTGAGCCACAGAAAACACACTAACAAAAATAGCCACAATCACCCTGTGGTCCTTCTTTATCCATTTCTTACTTTATTTTACTGCAGTTATAATCTATTGTATTTGCTTATTTGTCTAGTACATTCCCCAGTAGATACTTTTTACTCCTATAGAATTTAAATTCCATTAGAGCAAGAACTTTATTTTGTTCAGTGCTATATTCCAGCACCTAGGACAGTGTCTGACAGACTGTAGTACTCAAGAAAGACATGTTGGAGGGAGTCTTTCATCAGTCTGAGCCTCCTGGTTGTGTCGTGTGTAAATGAGGATGTAATTTTCATCTTCTCTGTCTACTTCTCCAACCAGAATGAAATCATGCATGTTAAAATACTTCATAAACTATAAATCACTGTACAATAGATATGGCACTAGTGGGGAAAAATGTGTCTTGATAAGGGAGAAGAAAGCTGTGGAGATACAGTTTCTTGAGATATATACTGTATAGTCATAAATATATATATATATATCATATATATGCATAAATATTTAGTAATAGCCTAGAGCCTAAATTTTAAGTTCCTAGTTGTTGCTTCCATTTTTCTTTGTAATAAAAAATATACTTATCCAAAAATAGAATCTCCAAACACCTATTTTACGATGTTAAAGGATTCTCCTCAGTATTAAACTGTTTAGGAAACAAAGTAGATTGGATATTAGGTTAGAAGACATAATAAGCCACAGAAATAATTTAACTCCGGAAAAAACCTTTAAAAGGAAAGATTAAAACTAACCAGTGTCCTGGGCTAAATTGTGCCTCCTGTAAATTTATATGTTGGAGTACTGATCCCTAGCCCTGAGAATGTGACTGTATTTGGAGACAGAGTTTTTTAAGAGGCAATTACATTAAAAGGAGGGCATTATTGTGGGATTTAATTCAATGACTGGTATCCTTATAAAATTAGAAAGTTAGGATACAGATACATGCAGAAGACTAGGTGAGAAATGGAGAAGAGCTACCTACAAACCAAAGGAAGGGGGCTCAGAAAAAAGTGACCTAGACCTTGGACTTTCAGCCTCCTGAATTATGAGAAAACAAATTTCTTTTGTTTAAGTGATTAAGACTGTAGTATACTGCTATGAGAGCTTAGCAAACAAATACACTTAGTTTTTCTAAAACCCACTAGAAAAAAACACTGTATTTGGAAAAGAACTCCCTAAAGATGAAATTCAAGCTATCAAACTTACATAAATCCAATTTTCTCACACACTTCAAGAGAAACCATCCTCTCACAAAGCAGTTAGAGAAGGTTTCACCTGGTCACAGAGCAGAAACTAAGTATTTACATTTCTTTTCTAAATTCAATCTATAATGGATTCTACATTTTTGTTAGTAAGAGCACAGTTTAATAGGCATTTGCATCAGAGTAACTATTAATGACTAGAACCTGAAATGTCTTCCAAAGACCCACATGGTAAATCCACAGTCCTTGGTACTATTGGGAGCTGGTGGAATCTTATGGAGTCTAGCAGAAGGAAGTGAGGTCACTAGGGGTGTGTCCTTGAAGAGGACACTGAAAATGCTGCCTCTTCCCGTCTCTTTCCTTGTTTTCTGGCTGCCATAAGGTGAGCAGACTTGTTCTACCGCACGCCCTGCCAAGATGCTCTACTTTGGTTCAGGCCCCAAAACAGAGCCAGCTAACCATGGACTGAAGTCTCTCAAACTGTGAGTCAGAGTAATTCTTTCTCCTTATCTCAGATATTGTGTCATAGTGATAGAAAGCTGACTAACACAATGACTAAAGCAGCCCATCTCAACCTCTAAGGAAAATATCCATTAAAATATTAAATAAACATGTGTAACTACAAATCACCTTATGTCCACACTTTTGTATAGAAAGGTACAGTGTAGCCTAGCAGGTATAACCTCCAAGCGTAAAACATCTAAGGGAGGAACAGACATGGGAAGATCCTTCCTTTTAAGTTCTGGATTTCCTTTATGAGCTTGAACCCCAATTCAGAAACACAGCTGATTTATGTGCAGCACATGACATCTGTCACTCACATGTAAGGCTTGGGTCTTTTTCATCTGCATCTTTTTTTTCCTGTGGCTTATATGAAATTTATTTACTGAAATCCTAATTTCCTGCACTAGCCTATATAAGAGCTGTTAGCTACCGTTTGCATTAACTTCTTTTTCATTTTACTACTAGTATTGTTTTTATATATATTTTATATGTCTCTTTAAAATTTCTACTTTTAATTACAAAGTATATATGACAAAATTTGCCATTTTAACCATTTTTAAATGTTCGGTTTAATCATCTTAAATATACTCATTGTTTAGCTCCTCAACAGGACTTTTCACCCTCTAAAAATGAAATTCTATGCCCATTAAACAACTGTTTTCCCTCTCCCCTCCTCTGTTCTTAGCAACTACCATTCTACTTTCTGTTTTTCTGAACTTGACCACTCCACATACCTCAAGGAAGTAAAATTATAAAGTATTTATCTGTGTGACCAACTCATTTCCTTTAGCATAATGTTCTCAAGATTCATCCATGTTACAGCACGTGTCAGATTTTCTTTCTTTTGAAGGCTGAATAATGTTCCATTGTGTGTAGACATTTTGTTTAGCCATTTATCTATCAGTGGACACACAGATTGCTTCTACCTCTGGTAGTATGAAAATGTTGCTATAAACATGAGTGTACAAATAACCCTTTAACACCCTGCTTTATACTTTTAGACATCAAATCCCATTAAAAGCTATCTCTATAACCATTAGATCTCTAATTCATAAATAATGAATCCATCTGTTCAAGCTAGAGGGTAGAGAAAAAGCATGATATAACCAAAAGTGGAATTTGTTTAATTGTGCTCTACTTTAATTACCAGTAATATTAACATCATGCCTTTAAATTTATATTTTCAAATTTGCTATAAAATGGGTAGATTTGAAAGCCAGCCATATAGGAAGAAAAAACTAAATGTTCTCACAGTATAATCAAATAAATGGTCACTTATTCAAATTATTAATGGAAGGCACAGGTAGTTCTTCTTATCTTTTTGATGGAGATATAATATATCCTTTTAAGACTAAGTAAATCTAGGAGCTTATTCCATGAAAAAACGCACACAGAAAATTGCATCCAAAAATACGCACATACTCTCAGGAGATCTAGGGCCCCTGAAGTCCAGCTGTGGACACTGTGTGTTAAAGGGTACACACTTTGTAAGGCCAGATACAAGGCTGTGAAATTCTAATGAATGTCAAATACTAATAAATACTATCCAGACCCAAAGGGCTACATGATTTGGATCTACCACAAATAATGAATTCAACATACCTCAAATCCCATTAAAAGCTATCTCTATAACCATTAGATCTCTAATTCATAAATAATGAAAGATGTTCTTTCTCTTTTGTTGAGCCTCTAAAGACTATGCATTTAACAATGATTAAGGCATGAAGAGAAAACATAAGTGAAAACTCATTTTAAAATTAGTAAGTATGACAAAGGAAGGAATTTCACTCACAAAATCTGTTTCTAGTTTTCCCATTTCTTGCTTGTAGCTTCTCATTCTGTTGCTGTACATTCCTCGACTTTGGGGTGGTATCTCTCGGACTTCCAAATCCATCTGTTCCAGCTAGAGGGTAGAGAAAAAGCATAATTTAAAGCATATGCTGATTCTTTATTTGACAAACATTTGGAGCTGAAAGCATTTAGTTCCAAAGCCTCATTTTACAGCTGAGGAATCAGGCACATGGTGCTGACTGCCCATGATTAAATAACACTGAAACTACTTCTGAGCTTAATTTTTGTTCCATTCAACAAGTCATTAGTGAGTACTTGCCAAGTGACACACAAAGTGCCAAGCTGCTTACTTCGTCAAGAATTTCGGTCAAGCATATACATTAATGCAAATATTTTCAATAATTTGATTTCAATAACCTTGAAGTGGCCCATCATCTGATCATTCAGCCCAACCTGATCTGGTCTTCTTAACATGAACCTCCAAAATGATGGGAAGATAAGCCAAGTCACTACTGCCTGCAGCTAACACATGAAACCAGCCACTCTAGTCACTTGGTGAAATTTCTTTTGGAAAGTCTTTTCTGATTAGGAAAACCACATACCAACCAATATGTGCTATCAACCTCCAGTCTAACTCTTTATACTTTATAACTACACTGAAAAGGAGATATATGGATTCAATAATATGCTAAATCACACACAACTTATTGAAATCACAGAGGGGCGCTGTTTCACAACCTGTCATCATATAATACTTTGGATCTAACACAAGAGTGTTTAACAGGGGGCAATGCAGATATACTGTAGTGGTGCAGAACATGGGTTTTGTAGTGAGACTCCCGTGTTCCCAACATGAACTCCACTACTTAATAGCCCTGGAAGTTGAACAGGGTTCTTCTCATCTCTCTGCCTTCTTCTTCTCATTTCTAAGAGTAACTCCTTCCTTGGGCAGCTGTGAAGATTAAATGAGATAACTGTTGTAATATTCTTAGAACAGGTCTCTTACTTCACCACTAGCTCAACCTTAACTATAGTAATGATGATTACTGGCGATGAAGAAATAGAGAAAGCATTAGCATACAAAGTCACAGAGGTAGCTAATTTGTACTTGACATTAAAAATAAAAACCAATAATGACAAACTGGCCCAAGGCCATGTCTTATAAGCACAAAATGCAAAAATGTTGCAATGTATTTTGCTTTTCAAAGCATTCCTGTAAGTTATTTCTGTGAATATAAATTTCTCACTAATAAAACTCTTATTGTTCAGAGTTAGAGACTGAATATAGAATATAGATAAGCTGGAAAATCAGATTTCAATTAACAGACCTCAAGTTTAATAAGAAACAAAGGACAATTTTAATTAGCCTTGATTTAAACAATAATCACTGAAATTATTGGTAGGTCTCCATAAATCAGTGGAACAGAAGAGAGGATATAGAAATAACCCCAGGCACATTCAGTCATCTGATTTTCAACAAAGGGACAAAAAACATGCTAGAGGAAGGTCAGACTCCTTAACAAAGAGTGCTGGGAAAACTGGCTATCCACATGCAGAAGACTGAAACTAGACCCATCTCTCTCACCATGTACTAAAATAAAATCAAAATGAACCGAAGACCTAGATAGCAAAAAAGAAACAATCTGCTGAAAGATAAAATAGGTAAAACTCTTGAAAACATAGGCATATGTAAAAGAGTTTTTGAATAGAATCCCAACTTCACAAGAAATAGTATCAAAGCCAGGCGTGCTGGTGCACTCTTGTAATCCCAGCACTTGGGAGACTGAGGCAGAAGTTGAAGGCCAGCCTGGGCTCCATTGTGAATTCAAGCCCCGTCTGAACTACATAGTAAGACCCTGTCTCAAAAAAAATAAAAAAACATAATAATATCAAGAAACAACAAGTGGGATTATATCAAATTAAGAAATGTCTGCACACCATAGAAAACAACCACTACATTGAGAAGACAAACTATAGAATGGGAAAACTTTTGGCAGCCCCCGTCAGACAAAAAACTAGTATCTACAACATAAAGAACTCCAAAAAATTAGACCCCCCCAAATAAAATATACAATCAAAAAATTGGCAATTGAAATGAATGTACACTTCTCAGAAGAAATACAAATGCACTCAGGCAGCCCTGGGCGCCCCAGGTCGCCAGCCTGGCGGAGTGCAGAGGTCCCAGCCCCGAGGGACATCAGCCCCTCGGCCCCCGCCCTCCTCCCTGCACCCCACAGGGGCCTGCCCAGTGCCTCTCCTCTGGCAGACGCCCTTGGGGGCTTCTAGACAACAGCTGTGTCGCCTTCCACGTAGCGGCTTTCTTGGAGTCATGTATGAGAAGAAATACAAATGGTCAGTAAATACATGGAAAAAGATGTTCCACATCATTGGTCTAGAGAAAAATGCAAGTTAAAACAATAGTGAGAGTCCATCTTGCCCCAGGAAGAATGGCCATCATCAAGAAATCACATAATAAATGCTGGAGAGGCTGTGGGGAAAAGGAACCCTTCTACATTGTTGGCAGGAATGTGAACTAGTACAACCTCTATAGAAATCAGTATGGAAATTCCTTGAAAAACTAAAACTAGAAATTTCACCTATATAATGCCCATAACACCTATATAATAGCCCAGCTATTCTTCCCTTTAGGTATCTTCTCAAAAGAGTTAAAGACATCACATTACAGTGATATATACACACCTATGTTTATACAAGCACAATTCAAAATAGCTAAATCTTGGAATCAGCCTATATGCATCAAAAAGATGAACAGATAAAGAAAATGTGGTACTTACACACTATGGAATACTACTCAGCCACAAGAAATGATAATTTTGAGTCATTTGTAGGAAAATGCACTTGAGACCATAATGTTAAGTGAAATACAGTGGTACCTCAGTTCACAAACTTAATTCTTTCCTGATTCTGGTCACAAACCAAATTGGACGAGAGCCAAATCAAAACTTATACGGTCAAATTGAACCTAACCACTGAATTTGATTCAGTTCTTGTTCTATTCAGTTTGTGACCAGAATTGTGGAAAGAATCAAACTCGTAAACCCAAGTACTGCTTTAATCAGACAAATAAACCCAAACAACTCATGGTTTCTCTTACATGAGAAACCCAAAGTATAATTTCAGGACCAAAAGAAAAGATGTATACTATAAAATAGGGAGGTAGGTCCTCCCCAAATGAGAAGGGAACTAGATATGCAAAGAGGGGGGAGAGAGGGAAGGGCAAGGGGAGGTAAAAACAATTAAGATATGCGCATGTGCAATGAATGCAATTGTTATGTACAGCAAACAGGTACCAGCATGCATTAAAAGTAAATTCTTGACACGCCCCAACATAAATGTGCATCACCAATAAATTATATTATTACTTAACAAAGCAGTTATTTAAAGCACTTCTCTGAAGTTATCATTAAGGACTTAGTTCTAACAAGATGAATAAGATCATCCAAATAACTGCGACCGTACATGTCACTCAGAGTCTGAGAGTCAAGTACATGTTTTGCTTAAGACATCTTACAAGGACATTTGAAATAGATTAGAGGTAGGGAAGAAATAAAAAGGAAACATAGCAAATAAACAAAACCAGGTAACACGTATGTGTTTTATGCTGTCACAACATTCACGCGGCCAGGAAGAGTGGAAGACAATGGTAAATATCAGATGCGTCAGTGACCAATAGATTAATACAAACCAACTGCTCAGAAGAAACATAATTAACTCTGCATCAAAAAGGCAGTATATAATAAGCAGTATCTTTAGCAAGGAGTTGTCAGAACTAAATAAATCAGCCAGAGGTTGTGTTGTTTCTGTGCTACTATAGATCAAATCCAGAACTTTAGCACTAAGCCATGTCTCCAGCCAATTTATGAATTTATTATTTTTTTTAATGCAGGGTCTTGCTAAGACACTATGTTGCCCAGGCTGGGTTGGAACTTGTTCTGATCATATTAAACAAACAGAAATATGTATCTTAGACAAAACTGTACAATTAGTAATAACTAAAGATGACTATGAGCTCTATGAGGGTAGAGCTATGTTCTATACTTTTGGTTACAGTAAAACCTTGGCCACCAGTATACCAGCTTTTTATAACACCTATATAACATTCTGTATAACAAATAAACAGAATGTCTCCAGAAGAAGGCAAATAAATCAAAAACAAATCTGAGGGTGAAAAATTGCTGTTGAAATCTCAACAGTGTCACAGGTCAACTTAAGATCTAAAATGCAGATTGATCAGTTGCACTATTTATAGTTACCCTGGCAACCAGAGGGACGAAGTGTCCTGATTGGCTGCTCAGGTACATAAAAAGTCAGTCTTTTTACATGAAAGCTAAGAAGCATGAGAGAAGCAGTTTGATACAAAAAGAAAATAAAGAGAAAAGCATTTTTTTAAAAAGGAAATTTTCAAAAGAGAGGCAATACTAGAAGTCTGGAAACTGAGGTAAAGCTGCCATGGTGGACAGTGGCAGTAACCACCTGAGCCTAATGGTAGACCTTCCAGGGCATGGGCAACATCAGATACTCTGATACTAAAGGAAGACCAGTAAGTACCCTTTATTTAGAAAAGCAGTAACACACTCATTTGGGGCCACAATGCACAGTAATGAACTGACTCATACTTGGAATGCTTGCTTTCTGAAACAAAACAGGGACCCAGTACTTTTTATCCTCCGTTTTGCCCCCTTTTTATAAGCTTATTTATATGAAAAAGTACTAGATAAGCGATAGCTCTGACTTCAGCCTACCTAGGCACAAACCCTTACTGCTCCACTTCCCAGGGTGTGAGACCTCAGCTAAATTACTTACTCTAAGTCTCAGTCCCCATCTACAAGATGGTGGTGACAAAAGTGTTGGGAATCATGCTGGCCTGGTTCTCTCCTGCTCCTAGCTGGCCTCCTGGGTATGCCAAGAATGCAAGGTTTTAAGTACTCCGTCCAGGCCATTTTTCAAGTTCTGTTCACAGGGAGCAACTCTGAGGAAAGAAATAATACATCCCCCTCCAGGACAAAGACCAGATCTACTTCCACACTGCTAGAAAATGGCGTATGACCAGTGTCCGTGTTCCGCTCCTGTCAGGTATCCTACTACTTGTGTCAGCATACAGTCAGACTTGCACCACCCCTGTGGCAACTGGGGCCCAGGAACTGATGTACGTAACCAGGCTGAAGCTCTGGCAGCTGCTCCTGCTGTGGGTAAAATGAGTCTTTTGTCTCTGACTTCTGTCACCATCCATAAAACTGTGGCACGCTCACTCAGCTTGCAAGGTGGGGAAAATCTCAGCCCCTTCAGAGTTTCTGACAAACAGTACTTGTCTTGCAAGGCTTTTGAGAAAGTTTAATATTATAAAGCCAGTAATATGTTAACCACAGTGAATGGCACTTAGTATGTCTCTACCCAGCATTAGCTACTTAGTGCGCTTATGAAAAGTATTATGAAGGAATAAAAATCAGAGGCTGACATTGAATGAATCCCCTTTACTAAAAAGAATAAAATCTCAAGAACCTATTAGATTTCCTTCAATTAAAAAAACACTACTTAGTGACATTTCAGCTTTCCACAAGCGTAACTCAGGCCAGAGGAAGGCGTCAGCCTAGAGCGCTGCGTGTGAAATCACACTCATCAGTCTCTACGTACCAGTTCTCGTGCCTCTTCAAGCTGTTTCTCCACATTTGCAACCATTTGTTTCTTCTCATCTGAAACAGACAATATCAAGGAGTTGCTAAGGACACAAGTCAGTTTAATATTTTTAAACTTCAATGTTTAAATACACTTTTCCTCTCTGATCTATCAGCTTAGAGAACAGAAGGCAAAATGATCATATCATTCTTTGGTAGGTTAGCAACCACATTAAGCCACTAAATCTAGGCTATCTAGAAAAATGTAAAGATATGCCATATATTTTAAGACAGGCTGAAAATGATTTTGTTCTGAGGAAAGACTTTCAATGACAGTGGATTTAATGGTGGCCTTAGGAATCTGCAGTTATAACTAATAAACTGGAAATAATTGATTTCCAAATATAATTTTTAATCATATATAAAAACACTTCCTAAAATGAGGCAAGGTAGGGGCTGGGGATATAGCTCAGTGGCACAAGCACCTGCCTGACAAGTGCAAGGCCCTGAGCTCAATTCCTGGTACAAAAGAAAAAAAAAAAGACTAAAATGAGGCAAGGTCTCACAGTCCATAAAGACTGTATTTTTAGTAACATTAAGAATAAGGTGTAATAGAAGAAATATTTGAGGTCTGGACTACTGATTTCAAACCCAAAGCCACAATTTTACTCAAGACATTTAGGAAGAACAATGAGATAGACGGGTATAGTCAGTTTCTGGTTCTAAATAACTGAAACAGCTTTTACCTGACTTTGCCATACTTTGGTTTCTTGTGCCAACGGATTTCTTTTTCTAGACAATGGTCTAGAAAAGTAAAAGTTTGAAATGGGTACACCTACTAGTTAACAAATTCAGAATCAATCCTAAATAGGAATCTTTAGTAGGAATTATTATTCTATTAGATCATCATTAGATTCTGCTTACCCAAAGTCCTTCCCTTTTTTACCTCTAAACTGTGGGGAGTAGGGGAGCTCACATACAGTGTTTTGTGTATACACTAAATTTCTCCCAAATTCCAAATACACATTTGGAATAGAATTGATTTTCTCCTCTAAACACACATTTGGAATAACTTGATTTTTCCCCTCCCTGAATAAGGTAAACCCACATAAGGGCAGATTAAAATTTTAATTTACGACTCCAAATGTACTTGCTTCTGGCACGTCTTAATCTAAAATCTGCACATAGTTATAGAATAGCACTGTATTTCTGTGATACAAAATAAGAGAATCCGTCTTGAATGACAGTGAAATTATATATTTACACATCAGAAGGAGCATCTTGTTTTCTTTAAGGCATTCCACTGTTAGGAAAGTCAGGGTCATGGACTTCCAGGACCAATAGGTATCAATTTTCTCATTAACAAGACAAACTAAAAGGCCTCCTTTGACTTGTATTCCTCTTTGCTACTCTCTCTCCCCTTTATCCACAGTCTTTTTAAAGGTAGACTGTTTCCCTTCCTCTTCTCCCCTTACACTCCCTGTAATCTAGCTCCTGCCCCCACCCTCCCTCCATTCCATGGAAATGATTTTAACTGGGACTTGTAACCATCCCTTTATGCAAACTAATAGACATTCTTGGGTTCTATTTTTATTCATTCCTGGGGCTTCTAACCCTATTCTGGACTTTCCCTTCTCCTGGCTTCCAGGACACCCTGATTTTGAGATTCTCCTAAATGCCTACTTCTGTCTCAGCGTCCCCTGGTGGGCCTCCTCTTTTTCAGCCCATCTTTTAATTACTGGCATTCTTTTAAGTCCTTGCTGTTTTTCTCTTGTCATTTTGAAACTATCACATTATGTGTTTACAATCCTAAATCTTTATCTGTTTTTTTAAAATACAAATGTTTTAATGATACACCCTATTTTTAAACTAGGCAAAACATACATACATATATCAAAGGAACAGTTTCAAACTTCTTCAAGTTTACTGTTAAATATCAGTGGAAAAAGCAGGTTATCTCCACGCTGCTCACAGTCTAACATATATATATTCAGACTAACTCTTCAAAAAAAAATGTAATGAGGCACATGTTCTAGCGGCTTGTGTCTTCTTCCAAAGCAAAAGAAAAAATGAAAAAGGATAAGAGCACGATGAGCAGAGCTGTCATGTAACATTTTCTCATTTCAATAAATCTTAATCTCTAACCTTGATATACTTCCACTACTCCTCACCTCTAATCCCAATGTTTATACACATTTATACTGCGCAAACCTGGCAAACTGCTATTTGAAACTTTTCAAAAATCACCACTCCTTTGAAGTCTTTCCTAACCCAACAAAAGAGTTAATCACTTTTTCTTACACAAAATACCTATAATTTTACATACACTTAATGATTTATCTCTCACAGTAACAGGTTTGATTAGCCTTTCAGCTTGGGAGCTCTGCAAAGACAAGACACGTGACTTAAAGATCTTTATAGTCCTAAAAATGCTGCAATGAGCCTGGCATGTATAACCAGAACTCAAAAAAATGGTGATGAATTGAATTAATAGTGCAGGACAGTACAAGCATTCACAAAAGAGACTATCACCAATCACTCAGATTTCCCAATCTCCACGCCTACCTGCCTCTTCCGTTTAATCTTCCCCTGATCCTAGCAGTCAATGTCCTCCAAAATTCAGACCTGAGCAACCTTTCCAACTTTATTTCCAGTAAGTCTTCCAGTACATAATCTATATATTAACTAGACAACCTATTCATATTTATGATTATCTAAACAAGTGTCAGTTTCTTTTGTAAAACTTTTAAGGTAACATTGAGAGTCCTTTGGATGAAAACAACATACAATAGAATTTGTTCTGCCTAACTTAAGCCAAGAAAGAGATCTTATTAGAATAACATGGGATGGCCCACAGAGACCACTGGACACATTTTTATCTCCCTCCACATTTACCACCAAGAGTTGTACATAGTAAGGGCTCACTAAGTGCTTCCTTAAAATAAGACTCAGTCTTAGCCCTAAAAACCATATTTGCCGCTCACATAGAAACTGAGAAAGAAAAATTGCATCAGTGATGACAGGGGCAAATCTTACCACTTCAGAAGTTTTCCTTTCTGCAGGGAATTAAATTGGGGTTGGAGGCAGAGTAACATATGTTTACTATTTTCTCATAAACTATTTCGTGATGGCTGTCAAAAATAATGATAGAAATGAAATGATCTTTGGCGCTCTACAGTGTTACTCATAGCTCCAAGAAAAGATGAATCTAAAGAGTGATGATTTGGAGGAGAAATATATAGGTGGGAGGATGAGGAGATGAACTGAATAGGTGACCTTGGAAATACCTACCAACTCTTAAGATTTGGTAACCTTTTGGCAGCATTCATATGTAATTCCCAAGACAGTTTTGCCTCTTCTCCCCCGTAGTGTCCCTTTCACAAAGACATGCACCCAGGAAATGGACTTTTATAACAGCACCAAGAATGTTCACGGTGCTCCATCATAGTCGACCCTTAAAAAAACCCTTTGAAGGAATTATTATTTTTCACTCTCAGCAAGTAAACAAATTCACAGAGATTAATTTCCATTGTTTTTGTATTTATTTTTTTTTTACTTGTTACTGTCTTTGATTGTTTGATCAATCTTATTCTTAATGTCTAATGGACTGAGTAACTTGGTTGAAGATAATAGTATGTAATATAGCAACCGGTATAGATTTCTATCCTTTTGTCTTGAAGTCATGTATCATTTTCGTTGTTCTTGTGTTGTTTTGATTTTGTCTTCATTGTTGTTTTGTCAGTTTTTTTATTTTTAAAATAAAAAAATTCATAGAGATTAAATAATTTCTCCAAAGTGCAACAGCTAATAAACGTAATTCCAACAGGGTTTGTTTTCCTGAAATGCACTCTCAACATCTTATATACTATATAAAAATGTACTGTATAAACAAATTCTCTATTTATTTTTACATATAGGCTCAACAAATTTCAATATAAATATAAACTGCAGTCTAGCATGATCTTTTTTTTTCCCTATTCAATACTAACTAAAGTACTTCGTGCTGACATACACATAAATATTTGCATAGCATGATTCTCACTATTTAAAGACGGGTTTAGTTGGCACTCAACACTCCTAAGAAAGCACAGCGAGTATCAGGGCTCACTTAAATTCTGGTACTTGTCTATGTGCAATATTTTAAAATGAAACTAGTGGCAAAGTTTAAAAGTAGCAGTTGAAAATAAATACTGAGAAATGTGAAGTGAACCCACTATAACAAAGGAAAATTTTGTCAAGACAATTTTAAAATGAATATATTATTGATGTTGCACTATGTGTACAGGATGGTCAATGTTAAAGTCATTCTAGAACGTTCCATATGATATTAATTACAGTTTGAGATACCAGTAATTAACTCACATTTATTTTAATATATAGTGGCACCTCAGTTCATGAATTTCTTTCTACAATTCTGATCACAAACTGAAATTGGATGAGAACAGAATCAAATTCAATGGTTAGGTTCCATGTTAGCTTTATGGGGAAATTTGATTTGGTTCTCATCCAATTTGGTTTGTGACCAAAATCATCGAAACAATTAAGCTTGTGAATCAAGGTACTTATATGTGTGTGTGTGTGTGTGTGTGTGTGTGTGTGTGTGTGTGTTATAGATACCAATATTTATAGATATATTTCTCTTGTAGGTTAGTTTATGAATTTCCTTTTCTGTCAGTTGAAATGTCCTAGAAACAATGACATCCCAGTAGCAACAAACACATTTAGTGTCCACATCTTGGTTTTTTTATATCATTCTTCAATAAAGGGAAATAGATTCCTTGTCTGATACTAAGAGTGAGATAGAAAACGTACAAGATGATCCAAGAATATTTTATAGCACTAGAAACTAAAAAAGTGCCAAAAAAGAAAGCAAATCCAAACCATGATGTCAAAAGAACACAGCAACCAACTGAAAGGGCTCCCTGAAACAATTCGGGTAACAAAATAAAGTGGAATTGGTATATAACACAAAGTATAAAATGTCAGTGATTCCACACTGAGACACATGACTGAGTAAGTAAATGGAGAAAGACAAATCTCATACAAAGAAATCCAAATAATTTATGTATACACTCAGC